CAGACATTATTTGGGACAGTGGCAGGGGAAGAATGAAACTGAACCGGAATTCACAGAAGGTGATGTGAACGGCTTTGAGCATTGCATCCTGACCACCAGCAGCACACCTGGCTAGAGAGGAGATTCCTCTCTGTACTGAAGATATGTGAGTAAAGATTAAATGAAACCTTCGCTGAGATGATGTTAATTAGTAACAAAGTGGGATGCCGCTATGTATGCCTTCAATAGAGGGATAGGATCTAAGATGTGGAAATGGCTGGGGTAACATGAGGCTGTTGAAATACGTCGTCTTTGTGGAGACTAAAGTGCTCGAATTATGGACAAACTGAGAAATAGATGTGTGAAGATCTCATTTCTTCTGTGTGGTGGGCCCCCTCTCCTTTTTGAAGGCAAGCAGGCATGTTCCCTTGTTCTGAAGACCACGTGGGTTTCATTACCTGTCCAGCCATGGCATTTTACGGAGCACTCTACAAGGACAACGTGATACCCCACGTGAACAAAGGCTTTCGCTGTCTGGACATGCCTATCAGATCCAGATCGGCTGGTTGTTGTACGGGCACAACAGGCTGTGTTGGGGAACATGCTGCGCCTGAGCTCTTGCCTTCCCCGTCTATGCGATGTGTAAACACAGCTACAAGTAATCAAGTAGCTAATTCAGTCCTTACATGTAAAGTCAAACGTGTTCTAATATTGAGGCCAGGCAGCTATTTCAAGATCACAACAGCTTTAAATAGATGGTAAGACTGTAGTAAAGCTGGAGTAGACTGCTAGCGTGCATCTTAGCGCTCTAGTTCTGCTGCCGTAGGAATGACAGACCTTTCTTTACTATTGCTAACTAATGGGGGGAAATGGATAGCAGCTAACCAAGTATTGGTGTCAGCTTTGTTAAACATCTAGAAAGAAGTGGAATTAACTAAGCTACTACAAGACAGTAGTCTAGCAACAATTAGCATGAACCTTGTTACACATTTTAAGAACATTAATGAGCTCACCTAGAGACCTGAATTGTCATTTCATACCTGCTTCTTTTCCAGTGGGATCATTTTTTAATAGAAATAAAATGTGATGATAATAACCTCAAACTGTCTTTTTAAGGGTAGAATATTGGATTTTATGACTTCTGAGGAAATATATTGGCAATACTCTTTGGCTTTTGATTGCTAGTGAGAACACCAACACAATCTAACTTAGATAAGTATGAACCTGAATTCCAGGTTCCTGTGGGTTTTGTGGGATTGAACGCTTGCTTTTGTTCTCCCAGCCCTCCTTTTCCATATCCCTTTCAGGACTATTGAGATGATCCCATTTGTAGGATTTTCCAAAGACTAAATAAAAAAGGAATTTGAGCAATGAGCCCAACTTTTAATTAAAGCCAGTTACTTAAAGTACCCAAAAATATTGTGTGACTTAATTTCCATTTACTTTGAGTATAGACTTTTAAAAAAGAAATCACAATATCGTTATAAAAACAGCTCTTGCAGCCAACGCTGACTATCTAGGGAGTTGTCTTGCCAAGACTGAGAGCTTCACTAGACCATGTATGTTTGCATAATCAAAGTATTAACAAGACAGTATCCCATTCTGGAGCCATTTCCATGTAGTCTGCGGCTGCCACTGCTGTTTGTTCCCAGAAACTGTTGTCTTTTTTAATGTGTAAACTAGCTAATTTATTTTTACATTGCTTCTGTTGTGTTTTAGGGGATTAGTTTTAACAAAACTCCCCTCCACATTTTTCAGTCTAGGGCTTCTGGAAGAGGGACACTTGCCAAATACACAACTGACTGGCAAAAAATGAACTTCTGTGTGCGGTCAGCTTCAAATGAAATATAAATGGTACAATGTTAGAGTTAAAATATTTTAAAACTTCCAGTTACTCTTGAGAGTTTTCCCCCCCTCTTTATTCTTGAACAAATTAAACCTGATACATTGAACCCATGTTTTATGGGGAAAATGGGGCTCAGAGTCTGAGGAAAGTGAACTGGAAGTTTGAGCACGGAAGGAGCCATAGGTACAAACCCTCGGCTCCTCTGTAAGTGTGCTGGAAGATGGGGGAAGCTTTTTAAAAGGTCAGTGCTGAATAGCAAACGGCTGACATGCTCAAATGTTTATCTTGCAGCTCTTTCTGCTTCTTATATATGACCTGTGAGAAGTGTTCTTGCACTTCTGAGGTTTTTGTTTGTTTGTTATATAAAGTAGGCCTGTCTGAAAGTAGAATTCCTTTTTTTTTTTTTTTTTTCTTTTAAATCTTACAAAACACAGCAGCACAGACTCCTATACTGCTGAGCTGTTCTTCAAGCTCCTGCAAAACATTGAACCCATGTTTTATGGGGAAAATGGGGCTCAGAGTCTGAGGAAAGTGAACTGGAAGTTTGAGCACGGAAGGAGCCATAGGTACAAACCCTCGGCTCCTCTGTAAGTGTGCTGGAAGATGGGGGAAGCTTTTTAAAAGGTCAGTGCTGAATAGCAAACGGCTGACATGCTCAAATGTTTATCTTGCAGCTCTTTCTGCTTCTTATATATGACCTGTGAGAAGTGTTCTTGCACTTCTGAGGTTTTTGTTTGTTTGTTATATAAAGTAGGCCTGTCTGAAAGTAGAATTCCTTTTTTTCTTTTTTTTTTTCTTTTAAATCTTACAAAACACAGCAGCACAGACTCCTATACTGCTGAGCTGTTCTTCAAGGACTCCTGCAAACTCAAGAGTCCTGCAATTCTCGGGAATCTGTTACTTGCTCAGTCATCTGTTGTGTTTTCAGGATAACCAAGATTTGAATTGCTGTTCCTCCTAATACAGGGACCGCAGTACCACCATGCTTTTTAGAACAGCTGCTCTTATTTTATTCACAGAAACGTGAAAAAAAACCTGCTATTTTCCTCCTCCCCTCCATACAGATTTTCTTATCCTTAAAGAAACGTAAGTACCTTTCTGAGCTGCAAACTAGCCAACAGCTCTGAAGGCTACACCTTCCAAAGCATTACTTACTGTGTGCAATGTTAAGCAATACAGGAGAGAGACAGCAGTGAAACTTCTGCAGTAGGTTTCAGGTTGCTGTAGGCTGAATAAATTCATTGCTTTGTATCTCTGAAGCCAGTATCTTCCAAAGCTGTTAAACTAACAAGACAGTTCTACAAGATGCAACTTGTCCTTGGGAAAGAACGTTTTGGAAGATGTCTACAGAGCCCTCCTCTCATTAATGGCCATCTGGGCCAGCTCGCAGCAGCTTCAGCACACTGCGTTAGCGTTGTATGTGCATGATTCAGCTCTCCATTGCAAATTAAAAAGGCGTAATTATCCTAAATCTGGCCCATTCCAAAGGAAGCTGCAGGAACTTATTTTCTGTTTGGGATCTTCATGTATTAGCTGAAAGCAAAGTGACAACTTGCACCTCTGACCCTTCTCAGATCTGTCACATGCACTTTGTCCAGCAACCTGCAGAGTCGGAGCCAAGCCATCTTCCCGGTGCCTCTCTTGGTGGGAGATGCTTTGGATTTTCTAGTCCTTTGACACAACTAACCCACCTTAGCAGACCTCACCTCAAGCAAGGGCTTAACTGACCTCCTCAGTGCAAAGGGCCGCTTGATTAGAAGAAAAAATTCTTGAGGAGCTCCGCTAAACAGCGTCAGCCTGTGCTGCTGCCTCTGTAATTCAGCATCTGTCTGTCTTCCTCCGCTAGAAGTCCCTGAGAAAACTACGTCTCCCAGCAAATTCATCTGCAGAGCCTCTTTCAGCTCTTCCTCCCGTGAGAGGTTTCAGACAAAGCTGTGGACAACCCCTGATACCTTTTCTTCCTAGGAGAGCCTCTCCAGCACCGCGAGGTCTCTTGCCTGCCAGCCCCGCTGCTCGGCTGCCGTGCTCTGGCCTGGAACCTGCGTGTCTGGAATTGCTTTCCAAGTGTTTTTCAGGTTGTCCTTATGAGATCTATTGTGGTGTTTTCCTGTTTACTTCTGCAGCCCTCTGTTGTGTTTAAGCAGTGTAGTTAAGTCAGGAAATTCTACACCTAATATGCAGTAATTTCCCTTCGCTGACCCAGCTGCCTGTAGCGCTTTGTGAAATAGCTGCACTTCAGCACTCGGCGTGCTGTGTCTGCGCTGCCTGTCGCAATCGCACAGCATAACGTGAGCGGTTTTATCGCAGGAGGAGAGGCAAACCTTCCCTGCCTTTTTGTTAAACCATCCGCAGAGGCCTGACGGGCAGGCTCCGGTGCTGGAGCTGGAGCCAAGAGGAGCGCATACCGTGCTGTCCTCCTCTGCCTGCGCCATGAGCTGCTGCCCCATCCTCCTCCTCGTTTCACCTTTGAGACTCCGCACTTTGCACCGGCACACGTTGGGTGCTGCTGCTTCCGCTGCGAGAGGGTCACCTTTGGCAGAGAGAGGAGTGGGGCCGGGGAGCCAGGATGGATTTGCTTTAAACTGGTGTGCCGAGGCTTGCCAAGGCTCGGTGGTGTGGTGGGAGGAGGATCTGGAAGGAAACATGACCGTGTACCCTGGGCTCTGACTGCCTCCACCTGCGGAAAAAAATCAAGTTGTTTTCATAGGAGTGTTGCCTGAAGACTTTGAGCCCCTCTTTTTGCTAACCCTTCACTGTGGCTAATACCCATTGTAAAAAATAAAAGGTATAAATTTAACATTTCAAAACCTAACTGATATCCAGTATTCTACCCTTAAATGCTTTTCACGATCAAGATTAGAATCATCAGTCCATCTTGATGGTTTTAATATGTGGTCGAGAAGTTATTCGTCTTACGCTGGCATCAAGTCACGTCATTCCCCATAATTCTTCTCTTGTTTTTTTTAGCCTTGTTGTTCATAATTTCCTTTCCAAGTGTTTCTTTATTTGAAATGCCATTTATATTTTGTTGCATTTTTTTTTCCAGCACATCTTACATCTTTGTTTTTGTTTTGTTTTTAATCTTATTTCTGGCGTTTTCCATCGCTCTGTGGCCATGATTGTGGATGTGTTTTGGTTTTTGCCTGCCTTGCTGTTCTCTCGCTGCACTCCCTAGATCCCTGTTGCACAGTCCTCTGTCATGGATGACATTGAGGAGTGGCTCAGTACCGACTTGGTGAGACTCTTTATATTTTCATTTTTCACATGGGCAATAGCACTCGTATGGATAACATTCAATGCATTGCTGAGTTACTGGTACTTCTCGTAACGGGAAGCAGTGAAACTTCCAAATCATATGGCTTATTTCCCTTTGAGGGGACTACCTAAGCAGGAGGAGATAGGGTCGTGTTCAGCAATTCAATCAAAACGGGTTTTTTTCCTGAGTTGTTTTATTTTCACTTCTCCACGGTAACATCACAGAATAGCACGCGTTCCAGAAATCCTGTGTTCCTGGTCCCCGTATAGGAAAGCATTTAAACATGTGCTGAAGTTTACCTGTGTTCTCCACTGGGCTTAAAGCACATGTTTAAGGCTGCGTTAGCTTTGACAGGATCTAAGTACGTGCTTACGTTGAGGCATGCTTTTAAGAGATGCTGGATCAGGGCTTAGATTCCTTTCAAATTGAGATCTGTCTGTTAAATTGGCAAGCAATCTTGACATGTTTCATAATAGTAATAATAAAAATTTATAACAGTCGCTCTTCAATGTTTATAACTTTCAGTTTCTCCTAAATGATTATTGTCTGGTAATTATTAAACAAACAAACAAAAGACACAACTAAAAGTAGCTTTTCCTTCATTCTGGAGTTTGTTTTGCTGTACCGATACACATTTGGTTTAAGCAGCGGTACAGCTAGTATGCATTTATTCCGGGCTCTTTTTTTTAATGTAAGCATCTGACTTAAATTAACCAAGTGCATTTTGGGGATGGGTGGTGGGTCGCATTTCAGACCGTTCTTCTAAACATGGTTTTAGTGAGCTGAACTGTTTCCTTGTGGTCACCACGTCCCTAAGGATCGTCTCCTTCCATCACTTCTTATGACTTCAGAGATTGTCTCTAGATAACTCCCTGCTCCTTAAGGTCTCCCCCAGCCCCTTGCTGCTGTGTGCTCAGCTTCTAGCTGGGAGCTGTGGGGTTCAGGCTCCGCTCCCCAGCTCTGGCAGCAGTGCTGCAAGCTCACTCCAGCACGTCAGCCCTCCACTCCGGCACCAGAGGAGCTGACTGTACTGAAAGGAAGAAAATGCTCCTGCTCTCCAAAGCCACCTCAAGTGCTTAAACAGATTCTGGGTTTCAGTGTTTGAGTTTGGCAGACTGACTGGCTGTCTTTGAAATGTCACTGGTTTTCAGCTGCAGGTTAGTTTTTTCAGGCCTCGGTACAGGCAGTCATTTTCAAATTTAATTACAAACTGGCCTCATTTTGTTAAAGAAATACAGTAAACATAGCATGTCCACTCTGCTTAAACAATAAACTTTTGTCTTTGCCATTTAAATTAATTTAGCAGGAGAGAAGATCTTACGGAGAGATATCGAGGTAGCTCTGTACATCTGTCATCCCCTAGATAGTCTTACTCAAAAAGAGCAAAGCAGAGAAGTGCCGTGTAAATGCCTGAACAAGCCTGGGGATCGCACGCGCTGCAGCCGTGACTGTGCCGGCTTCCCTTCTCCCTGGTGCCTGGGTCCCCATCCTGACCGTATGTGGGTGCAGCAGAGAGATGCCCTCTGAGAAAGTTTGGACTGGATTTTTGCTTTTCACTCTGGGTTCCCCCCCTCCTTTTTTTGTTAATGGTTCGTTTCGGTTCTCTGCTTCCCAGCTGAGGAAGTTACAGATTAGGTTAGCTAATCGTTACTTATTTCCTTACCCTTTTTGGGGTACATTGGAACAAACAGTACCACTGCACGTGAAGCAGTGGCTGCTGTGTGTACCTTTGGAAACCTCTGTGCAGTAGAAAGCTAGTAGATGCTAGGTGGCATTTAATTCTGAGGCATTAAACACCTTTGTGAGGCCAATCGGTATGTTCCCGCTCACCTGGTGGAGAAGCCAGGGCATGGACAAATAGTTTTCTTTTTCAAAGCACGTTCAACATGAGGTTTTCAAGTAGTGTTTTCGTCCATTTTTAACATCCTGATAGATTGACAAGGATGCCACATCCTTGGACTTCATTTAATTTCCTTATCAAAGAACTGTTGGAAATTTGCATGTTGAAATGCACACAGCTAGTAGAAATGCACTGACCCCCTGGCATCCCAGCCTTTGTATCTCATGGACAGACGCTAACTGCCCATCAGTATCCTTCATCCAGCCCACCCTAGTCTTGTCTTTGTACAGCATGGACGCCAGGAAAGCTGCTATATTTTTGTATGAAATCTAAAATGAACTCCCACAGAAGGAACGTTGGCCCCAAACTATTTTGCGGCATGTGTCCTTTGTCAGCTAAAAGTGCGTTTTATTTGAAGACACAATGCAAACCGCAGTCCTGACTTTTTAAAGGACTGTGTGACAAAAAATGGCATCGTGTACAGTGTTTGCGTGACTCACACAGCTCAGTTTTTGACCAGGCCTACTGTCTGAAGTGGAATCAGCACCGGACTGCCATTCAGGTCCAACGGGGAAAGTTTATCTATCCACCAGCAATCTGCAGAAGCATCTCTGGGGTTTGTCCTCTTGCTCTGCAGCACAGTGAAATGTCAGTCACCACTGGCCTCCCGACGTGGGAGCCATGCAATTTCCCCAGGTCGCCCTGCTCAAATAGTTAGCATGCAGAAACGAGTGGTGGAAACTGTCCAGTTGCATTAAATGTGTGTAGAGGATAATAGTGAAGGTGAAGCACTGCCTGTGTGTTCACACGCCTTTTTGTTCCAATTGCAGAAAGGAGATGAACTGGAAGAAGGAGTGACCAGTGAAGGTAAGCAGAGATGCCTGCGGCTATGAGCTTTTCCCAGGTTAGTGCGCAGACTGAATTATCTGCTTTGATCCCTGCTGAGATGCTGACTTCTCCCAGCCTGATGTTCCCCAGCAAATGCTTCTGCACTCGGAAAGGCGGGAGGGGAGCATTTCAGAGCAAAAAGTTAGTATTTATGGTATGAGGAGCCCTCCTGGCTGTAAGTGCTTTCCTGCCATCTTCCTTGGCTGTGCACTGTGTTTGTGCCAGCAGGAATGCATCCCGGAGCTGCTCAGCCCTTTGGAATGATGTTTCCCTGCTTCTGTCATGGCCGATGGCGTAGCGTGGGTTTGATTCCCTCTGCTGCCTGAGCGAGGGTGTCTCAAAGGACGTCTGTACCCTTTCCTGAGGAAGTCAGGCTGTACAAGTATGTGTGCCTGCGAACACAGCCCGACGGGACACCAGATGCTGGAATTTCAGACCCCGCTAACCTCTGTCCCCAGGGCTAAACGTACAGCCCCAGTTCTTACCTGTCTTCCTTCTTTTTTTTGCATTGCAGAGTTTGACATTTTTTTAGAAGAGCGAGCCAAAGCGGCGGAGATGGTTCCCAATCTGCCATCCCCTCCCCTGGAAGCCCCCACCCCTCCGACAAATCCTTCCAGCAGGAAAAAGCAAGAGCGCTCGGAGGATGCCCTCTTTGCACTGTGAAGATTGCTCTTAGCCGCCCTCCCACCCCTGTGCTCTGCAGGCGAATGTCGCTGTACGGCCACTTTGTCCTCCCACAGTACTTGGCTAACAACGACCCCCTTCCCCCCGATTTCATAGATTGCTTCTCCTTCCCCCCCCTCCCCCAACAATCCACCCCCACAAGCTCACTCCT